TTATTTGATAGCAGCTTCACAAGTCTTGCATTCATTGAACTTGTGAGTTTTTGGACAGTTTCTGCTTGAATTTGTTTGCAAGATGTCAGAATAGCCTCCCAGAGCTGCTGTTTGGGTGTAAACTGCCTCCCACCATCATAGATTTTTTGCTTGAGGATGCTCCAAAGGTTCTCAATAGGATTGAGGTCAGGGGAGGATGGAGGCCACACCATGACTTTCTCTCCTTTTATCCCCATAGCAGCCATTGATGCAACGGTATAATTTGCAACATGAGATGGTGCATTGTCATGCATGAAGATGATTTTATTGTGGAAAGCATAGTTCTTCCTTCTCTACCAGGGAAGAAAGTGGTCAGTCAGAAACTCCACATACTTTGCAGAGGTCATCTTTACACCTCCAGGGACCCTAAAGGGGCCGACCAGCTCTCTTCCATGATTCCGGCCCTAAACATGACTCCACCACCGCCTTGCTGATGTCGCAGCCTTGTTGGAACAGGGTGGCCGTCCACCATCCATCCACTACTCCATCCATCTAGACCATCCAGGATTGCACGGCACTCATCAGTGAACAGGACTGTTTGAAAATTAGTCTTCATGTATTTTTCTTCCCAATGCAGCCATTTCTGCTTGTGAGCATTAGTTAGGTGTGGCCGAATAGAAAGTTTTGCACAGTTGCAAGACTCTGGAGGACTCTCCACCTTGATGTCCGTAGGACTCCAGAGGCACCAACAGCTTCAAATATCTGTTTGCTGCTATGTAATGGTATTTTACCAGCTGCATGGATCCTGCAGAAATCTTCCTCAATGTGCCTTTATCTGCACGAACCCGTCTGTGCTCTGAATCAGCCACAAATCTCTTAATAGTGCGATGCTTAAGTTTTCGTGAAATATCTAATGATTTCATACCTCGTCCAAGGCATTGAACGATTTCACTCTTTTCGGCAGCAGAGAGATCCTTTTTCTTCCCCATATTGCATGAAAATGGTGCTCTGCTTAATAATGTGGAACGCCCTCCTTTAGTAGTTTTTTCTTAAATTGGGCTCACCCGGCAATCTAATTATCACAGGTGTCCAAGATTGTTTTCAGTGATCAAAAGAGCCATGAGACACAGTGTCATCCATGAGTTAAACTGAAAAATAAAATATTTAATCTTGGTGACACTTAAATAGAATTTGCATAATAATTTGGAACAGGGTGTAGTTTAAGACTATGTCCACTTGTTGTGGTAGTTTTTCTTCTTTTAGATATAGTCTCCTCCTTTACTGTGTTGATTCCCTTTATGTATTTAAATGTTTCTATCATATCCCCCCTGTCTTGTCTTTCCTCCAAGCTATACATGTTAAGATCCTTTAACCTTTCCTGGTAAGTTTTTTCCTGCAATTCATGAACCAGTTTAGTAGCCCTTCTCAATACCTTCTCAATACCCTTCTGAAGATACGGTCTCCCGTACTGCATACAATACTCTTAAGTGAGGTTCTGTACAATGTTCTGTAAAATGGCATGAGCATGTTTTATTTTCAATCAGTACAGTTTGTTTACATTGGAAGTTTTTACCTCCTGCTCTTTTAATTGAACTTTAGTAAAAAAACAACGGAGGCTCCTTCAGGATAATAACAGAGCTGGAGATAAGAAATTCCAAATTAAACAGACAATGCAATAAAGGAAGTTTAAATAAGAGATCTCTTTACAGAAGATGTGTATGGAGACTGTGTAGGTAACATGCAAGGAGGTGTGGCTAGGGCTGCACAAACAAATTGATTTAACTCCTAAATAGCAGATAACTGAGCAGTAAGGCTGCAGGGACATGATCTATAAACCACAACCACTCCATAAAGTTATCTGGCGCTTATAGTGCCTCTTTAATACGTAATAAAGATTATCTAAGCCACTGTTTCTGTTAAAAAAAATGTTTAAACAGACTTTAAAATCACCGGTGTAAGGAAGTAATACAATGCATTGACATTTTGGCAAAGCAACAGAATATGGCTAGAATCGCAGGAAATGTTTTATTCTTATTAAGTGAACCTGTGCTATAGAATGTTTGCTAATTTCTTGAGTTATATCGTCGAGCATTAAACCATGAAATGTCTTAAGTTACTTTTGTATATGGGAAATTTTAAATTAGATTTCAGTGTTCTAGTTATTGCAATTGAGAGTATTCTTGGAAAATGTGATTACATTTAAATTTTTGTTTTGGAAACCAGCAAAAGCCATATGCCTCTAGGGGGTCCATGGAGGGAACGCAGCAATGGAGAATGCCACCATTACAATTCACATTGCCACATAAGCAATTAAAAGCATGTAATAGAAGGTAATATCATTTAAAGCCAGCAGTGGAATAGTATTTTTTTTTTTCTAATTAACTTTAATGTTACAACTATTTGAATCTGCTATATTGCCAATCTCCTCCACTCTGGTGCTGTTACTTATTTATTTTATAGCTGTCTCATACTCTTGCCTATTTTACTCTCTGTCTCACTAAAAATCACACACAATTTGTTCCATAGGCAGTATGTATGAAGGCTCCTTTGTAACAGCGAAAATGAAATCCCCTCTATTCAATATAGTCTATCTACGTGTTACTTGATCTGTACCTCTCTGTTTTTTTCAAGACCTAGATACTTGAAAAATCCAACGTAAAATCAGTATTTCCAAGAATGCTTGAGCTGTTAAGCACATGTTCAGCTTTTTTTCAGACTTTCTGTTTGACCTTTACTACATCAGATAATTTTGTTGGAGGGGGATTAGAGAACGCTCATTCTGATCAAAATATAATGAAGGTTATTTTGGCCGGAATACTTTTTAGGTGATGAGGTAACTATATATTGATTAGTTGAAATTATATTGACTGATGTTGGTTCATTTTCATTGAGTCTATATAAGGAGTATGGTTATGGTAAAAAAACAAAAACAAATAATAAGCACTTTCCCCAAACTTATTGGAAGTCATTCAGGTTTTCAAAGCAGTATGTTGTAACAGTAAGCTATAAAACAACTAACATTTCTATTAATAAATTAGGTAGTATCACGGTAGTGTGATAACCCAAAACGCAGTGTGTAAACCCACAGAAAACCCAAGCATGTATTACCGAACCTTAGAATGATCGGGAATAATGTAGGTAGAAAAGAGTGATCAAGGAACAGCTAAAATGTCAGGATACCAGAGATCAGGAGAATGATACGATAATAGCCAGGTCAGGATACCAGAAAGGAGAAAGTCAAAATACAAGCCGAGTCAGGGAACCAGAGAACAGAGAAGTCTTAAACCAAGCCGAATCAAAACACAGAAATACCTAAATAAACACAGGGAGTACCAAATAGCACTAAGGGAAACACAGGGAACCACAATAGGGCAAGGAATAAAGCAAAAGGCGCCATTTTTATAAGGGAGCGTCTTTTTCTTTAACTCCTTAAGGACCAAACTTCTGGAATAAAAGGGAATCATGACATGTCACACATGTCATGTGTCCTTAAGGGGTTAAATTAAAGGACCACTATAGTGTCAGGAAAACAAACTCGGTTTCCTGGCTCTATAGGGCCTTTGGGTTCCCCCCACCCTCTGTGTCCCACTCCCGCTGGGCTGAAGGGGGAGGAAGGGGTTAAATTCTTACCGCTGGGGACTCTCCTCCCTCTTCCGACGTCACCTGCTGAATGCCCATGCGCGGCAAGAGCCGTGCACACATTCAGTCAGTCCATAGGAAAGCATTTCTCAATTTCTCAATGCTTTCCTATGGACGCTGGCATCTTGTCACAGTGAAAATCAAAGTGAGAAGCGCGGAAGCGCCTCTAGTGGCTGTCAATAAGACAGCCACTAGAGGCTGGATTAACCTTAATGTAAACATAGCAGTTTCTCTGAAACTGCTATGTTTTCAGCTACAGGATTAACCCTCGATGGACCTGGCACCCAGACCACTTCATTGAGCTGAAGTGGTCTGGGTGCCTATAGTGGTCCTTTAAGACCACGCTCCCAAAATGTTCTGGACCTGTATTGACATCAAGAAGTCGGTGCATATGGGTTGCGTAATCAACAGGGGCATTACTCCAGCGTCCGGCATGTGACATGTCGAACATGCTGTGAGAGGAGCCGGCTTCAAATCTTGTACCACATGAGTGCGAGGGAGAGAGGTAAGAGCAGTGGCGTACTAAGGGGGGGGCGGGGGGGGCGGTCCGCCCCGGGTGCCAGCCGGGTGGGGGGTGCCATGGCCAGCCCCCCGCCCCCCCCATGCTGCAGCCGCCCGAGCGCTCTGTATTGAGCCTCAGGCGGCTGCAGCTTTGCCCGGGCGGTGCATCCATGAGGGCGGACCGCACCGCCTGGGCGCAGCCTGAGGAGAGGCTGACAGGAGGGAGCGCTCCTGTCAGCTCCCTCACTGCAGCATGCTAGTCCGACGGGTACAGAGAGCAGCTGTCTCCTGTACCCGGCCGGACTAACAGGAAGGGAACACTGAGTGTTCACTTCCTGTTAGTCCGGCCGGGTACAGGAAACAAAAGCCCCTGTACCCACTACTAGCAGAGCCTCGGCCACACTACAGGAGGGGGTGAGAAAGAAATAAGGGGTGAGAAAAGAAATAAGGGGGGTGAAAGAGAAATAAGGGGGGTGAGAGAGGGTGAGAAAAGAGGGGGTGAGAGAGGGGGTGAGAAAAATAAATAAGGGGTGAGAGAGGGGTGAGAAAAATAAATAAGTGGGGGTGAGAGGGTGAGAAAAAGAAATAAGGGGGAGAAAGGGGGGTGAGAAAGAGAAAAGGGGGGTGAGAAAGAGAAAAGGGGTGAGAGAAAATAGGAGGGGGGTGAGAAAGAGAAATAAGGGGTGAGGAAAGAGAAAAGGGGTGAGAGAAAATAGGAGGGGGGTGAGAAAGAGAAATAAGGGGGGGTGAGAAAGAAGGGGGGGTGAGAGAAAATAGGAGGGGGGGTGAGAAAGATAAATAAGGGGGGGTGAGAAAGAGAAATAAGGGGGGGTGAGAAAGAGAAATGGGTGAGAAAGAGAAATTGGGAGGAGGAGAAGGAAATTGGAGCGGGAGGAGAGATTGACATTCATCACATACACACAATGCACCCCTTGCACACAGAAAAACACACAGACACACATACACAAGCAATGCAACCGTTACACACAATGCATCCCTTACACACACAGAAACACACAATGCATTCATTACACACACTCAATGCATCCCATACATACACAGAAACACACCTTGCAGTCCTTACACATACAAACACAATTTCACACAATGCATTCCTTACACACATATCAGGACATCCCCTACACACTCCACCCCCTGTGAACAAACTCATTGGTGGAACATGAAGGTGGACCCTGGGACCCAGACCTTGAGCTGTGTAAAGGACCCCCAAAAAATGGAGCTGCTTCCCGTTCTCCCAGAACATTGATTTTTGTGACCACAGTTACAAACCGCCTCCAGAGAGCCTGTTCTGCACCAGACCAGTGGAGCCAGACTGCAGCTAGAGCCCATCATCATCCTCATCTGGTTGTAAGTAGGCAATCTAGTATATTATTCGTGGCACTAAGCTCTAATTTACCTCACATTAAAGAAACACTATAGTCCCCAGAACCACTTCAGCTTAATGTAGTGGTTCTGGTGTCTATAGCCTGTCCCTGCAGGCCTTTTAATGTAAACACGGCGGCACTGCAGCACTGGCGTTAGTTAACATGGCAAATCATATGGTTGGGGCATGGTCAAACTTTACTTTTGCCTAGGGCGGCAAAAATCCTTGTACCGGCCCTGGCTGGAGGGGGCTGTGTGAGCTGTGGCCGCACAGTGTCCCATGGTAGTTAGGGTGCCGTGCGGCCAGTACAGCTCACTCAAGCAAACAGCTGATAAACTGGCCGCACGGAGGAAATGTGTATGTGTGACTGTCTGCCTGTGACTGTGTGTGACTGTCTGCCTGTAACTGAGTGTGTGACTGTCTGTCTGTAACTGAGTGTGTGACTGTCTGCCTGTAAATGTGTGTGTAGGGCTGCAGGGATTTTGTAGAAGGGGGTGGGGGTTTTGTATTGGGACAGGAGTCTTTATAAGGGGGGATAAGCAGGGGATTTGTGGAAGGGGGTTGCGGGGGTTTTGTAGATGGGGCAGTACAGGATTTGTAGAAGGGGCAGGACAGAGGTTTTGTAGGAGGGGCAGGGCAGGACAAGGGTTTTGTAGGAGGGGCTGACAGCGGTTTTGCAAAGTTTACAAATTGTAAAAATAAAACCTTTAACATTTTTTACAGGTTTTTTTTTTTTTTTTTTTTTTGGGGAGGGGGGTGGGGGGGGGTGCCAAGCACAGGATCCGCCCCGGGTGCCAAATGCTCTAGGTACGCCCCTGGGTAAGAGATAGTGATAGGTAGACCTTCCACTATATGTGGATATTGCTAAATGCAAGGTAGACTAAAATAAAACATATGTACTAAAATGTAATCACCTGGATGGTTGATGCAGTTTGTCGTAAATGTGATCTCAAATGGGACTGTTAAAACTTAATCCATTGCTGAACTACAACTCTTGTGCTGGACTTTTGCCTCTCTGGTTTAAGGCAGTTGTAATTCAGCAACAAATTGAAGTTGATACTCTGCCTTGTTTTTTTAATATTTGATCTTATCTTGTCATGAACACATTCACACTCAAATATGCATGGGAACATATGTGTTTGCAATACCAAGCTCCAACACTACCTACACAAGAAAAATAATTGTGAGGTGTGTAATCCAGAAACAGCAGATTAAACTTTCCTAGTGTCTGATCTAGAACATATCTTCTGAAAATTGTAGCATGTTTTTCAAGAAAGTGCAGTTTTCAGAAAAAAAAGATAAGAATGAATTATAGTGATGTTTAATCTTAAGTGGAACATTTGTGACAATACCTTAGTGTTTTTCAATCACTTCTTATCTCTCTTCATCATTTTGGATAATAAGAGAAAATGATCAGAAACTGATTTTTGGAGTATCCTCAAATCAAATACAGACTATGAACTTAAACAGCATTTATATTTTGATTTATATACACGCTGTATATTAACTGTATAATATCACATAGTCTTAGTGAGGGTCAAAGAAAAAGGTGAACATTTTTGCATTGTGCACTCTTATAGTTGTAACAGTCCTGCTTTACTTTTTTATCAAACCCAATTTACAAGACAAACTCTTATAATTTAAGCTTTAGGGACAGTTGACATAATGAGTTGCCTGTAAAAAATAAAAACAATCAAGTAAACAAATTCTGTCCTTATTGTTCTCTCTTTATATATTGTAAAGATATATTATATTATTTATAAATTATATAAGGGCAAAGGTATATCCAACCTATTATATTAGGGTATTTGTGTGTTAATTGTGTTATGTTTTTTAGTGACAGTGTGAGAGAAGGTGAGTGTAATAAGGTGAATATGGCAGAGCGATAGGAGGTGAGTATGGCATGGGTGAGTGACTGGATTGGTAGAGTTATTGTGAGTATGGCATCAGTAAGTGACAGGATTGGAGGGTAAGTATGACAGTGCGAGAGAAGGTGAGTGTAGTAGGGTGAATATGGCATAGCGATGGGAGGTGAGTATGGCATGGGTGTGTGACTGGATTGGTAGAGTTATTGCGAGTGTGGCAGGGTGAAGGGGTGTGTGGTGGCGTAACAGTTACACAGACACACTGGTGCATTCAGTGATAGACATGCACATATACAAACAAACACACTTACATACATGCAGATACACACTATATAACACACGCAGATACATGCATGGACACACATGCTGATACACAGACACATATGCATGCAGACACACAAACTAACACTAAGATACATATATACAATCAGACACACATGCAGATGCACAAACACTTAAGCACAACCATTCAGATATTCAGAATGAAACTCATACAGATATGCAGACATGCAGACATGCAGACATACAGATACACATGTAGACAAATAGATACACATACAGACACACACACAGACAAACAGACACACACACTTACAGAGATACACACATCCATATACAGAGAGACACACACACATACAGAGACACACATATACAGAGACAAACAATCACACAGACACACACACACATACATTAGTCACCCTCCTGTTTCCTACCTTTTAGATGCAGAAGAGTGACTTCCCTAGGGTCCAGTGGTTGCTCAGGCTGATGGGAAACAGAGTTCCCACTCTGACACTTTCCTCTCCTTCCTCCCACGTGGTGCTGTGTGTAAGCTGAGAGGAGGGACCAGGGCAGTCACTTCCTCCCAGCATCTGACTTCATCGCAGGCCCTGGTAATACATTCCTATTAGGTGGCCCTAACAGCATAGGCCACCCGATGGGCCCCTAAACGTGAGGCCCCATCGATTTTACCGGGTGGGCCGGGGCCGCAACACATGGCACCCGGTCACAGGGGTCAACAGGACGGCCAGGCCCCCTGGAGTGGCGGGCCTGGTTGCAGCTGCGAACCTTGCGACTGCAGTAGTTCCGCCACTGTCCCCACTTTAATAAGAAGAAACCTATGAAGAATGTTATCTAGTTAATTTCTTAGTGATTTATCAGACTGTTTTTGTAAAGTTATACAGTGAGGGAAAAAAGTATTTTATCTCTTGCTGATTTTGAAGGTTTCCCCACTGAAAAAGAAATGTCCAGTCTATAATTTTAATAAATTGATTTGCATGTCAATGAGTAAAATAAGTATTTGACCTCTTCGACTTAGTACTTGGTGGCAAAACCCTTGTTGGCAATCACAGAGGTCAGACATTTCTTGTAGTTGGCCACCAGGTTTGCACACATCTCAGGAGGGATTTTGTCCCATTCCTCTTTGCAGATCCTCTCCAAGTCTTTAAAGGGACACTATAGTCACCTGAACAACTTTAGCTTAATGAATCAGTTTTGGTGTATAGAACATGCCCCTGCAACCTCACTGCTCAATCTTCTGCTATTTAGGAGTTAAATTCCTTTGTTTATGAACCCTAGTCACACCTCCGTGCATGTGACTTGCACAGCCTTCCATAAACACTTGCTGTAAAGAGAGCCCTATTTAGGCTTTCTTTATTGCAAGTTCTGTTTAATTAAGATTTTCTTATCCACTGCTATGTTAATAGCTTGCTAGACCCTGCAAGAGCCTCCTGTATGTCGTTAAAGTTCAATTTAGAGATTGAGATACAATTATTTAAGGTAAATTACATCTGTTTGAAAGTGAAACCAGTTTTTTTTTTCATGCAGGCTCTGTCAATCATAGCCAGGGGAGGTGTTGCTTGGGCTGCATAAACAGAAACAAAGTGATTTAACTCCTAAATGACAGTGAATTGAGCAGTGAAACTGCAGGGGAATGATCTATACACTAAAACTGCTTTATTTAGCTAAAGTAATTTAGGTGACTATAGTGTTCCTTTAAGGATTCAAGGCTGACGTTTGGCAACTTGAACCTTCAGCTCCCTCCACAGATTTTCTATGGGATTAAGGTCTAGAGACTGGCTAGGGCACTCCAGGATCTTAATGTGCTTCTTCTTGAGCCACTCTTTTGTTGCCTTGGCTGTGTGTTTTGGGTCATTGTCATGCTGAAATACCCATACACGACCCATTTTCAAAGCCCTGGCTGAAGGAAGGAGGTTCTCACCCAAGATTTGATGGTACATCTCCCCGTCCATCGTCCCTTTGATGTGGTGCAGTTGTCCTGTCCCCTTAGCAGAAAAACACCCCCAAACCATAATGTTTCCACCATGTTTGATGGTGGGGATGGTGTTCTTGGGGTCATGGAAAGCATTCCTTCTCCTCTAAACACGACAAGTTGAGTTGATGCCAAAGAGCTTGATTTTGGTCTCATTTGACCACAACACTTTCACCCAGTTCTCCTCTGAATCATTCAGATGTTCATTGGCAAACTTCAGATGGGCCTGTACATGTGCTTTCTTGAGCAGGGTGACCTTGCGGATGCTGCAGGAATTCAGTTCTTCACGGCGTAGTGTTACCAATTGTTTTCATGGTGACTATGGTTCCAGCTGCCTTGAGATCATTAAGAAGATCCTACCGTGTAGTTGTGGGCTGATTCCTCACCATTCTCATGATCATTGAAACTCCATGAGGTGAGATCTTGCATGGAGCACCAGACTAAGGAAGACTGACAGTTTTTATGTGTTTCTTCTATTTGCGAATAATTGCATCAACTGGTGTCACCTTCTCACTAAGCTGCTTGGCAATGGTCTTGGCTATGGTCCCATTCCAATCTTGTGTAGGTCTACATTCTTGTCCCTGACATCCTTGGACAGCTCTTTGGTCTTGGCCATAGTGGAGAGTTTCGAATCTGATTGATTGATTGCTTCTCTGGCCAGGTGTCTTTTATACAGGTAACGAGCTGGGATTAGGAGCACTCCCTTTAAGAG